GTCAACCATGCCACTCTGTTCTATACCACTTTCAATTCTATAWCCCGTAGATAAATGCAGTCGTAGACTGCCTTTTTTTAACGTTACATTTATTATTTAATTACTGTAGAAAACTAAGAAGAAGAAACCTGAGAAGAAGAAACCTGATGAGGTGACGTACGCATCCTTAGAAGGCTTTCAACCACCAGGTGGTCGTGGTGGCATTGTCCTTGAACCCCTTCCAAAGGACGAGCATACCAAAATGCCTGACAAGTACGAGGAAACTATCTACTCGGAGATTATTGGGACCAAGAAACTGGTTAGTGGCAATGAGAGTGCTGCTGGTGCTAGTAATGATATCCCTTTGTCTGATATGCATGGTCAAGGTACTGAGACAGAGTCAAACCCTTCAGACCAGACTGCAGACCCAGCAAAGCAAAATGACCAGAAACCAGCCACCGATGAAAAAGAAAAGCCACCAGACAATCAAGTGCAGCCTCCGACCAAAGAGGATTCTGGTAAGGAGGAATCAGACTCAGCGGAAAGTTCAGTTACCAAATTGTGAGTTTTCGTAAAACTCGAAAGTAATAAGGTTGATTTGCGGCTCAATTTTCCTCTTCTTTATGATTCTTGTCTCATAAGCATCTTTTTCGTGTTGCGTTATCTGGAAATTCTTCAAACTTGTTTCAAAAGTTTTGTTGTCGAAATGTTGCTTCATTAATATATTTCTTGGTTCTTTTTCAACGTTCCCTTGCGTTGCTATTTTCGTTGTTAATGTTGTTTTATTTGACACTGTTAATGTTTATGTACTGAGGTTCTCTGTCACACTCGACCAACCCGACCTTCATCACAAACGAAAAATTGAGTTTTGGTCGACGTCATTCAAAAGGTTTTTTTCAGGTCACAGGATTCCTGCTCCAAATTTCAAGCACTTGACTGCAAATCTATCGGTATTGGCTTATCTGATCTTGAACACACACACAAATCATAGTAAATAGCGATAGCTTTGCAGTCAAGCGTTTGGAATTCGAAGCCGGAATCCTGTGACATTTTTGAGAATATATACCCCGAACGAGAAATTCACAGCCACAAGAAAGAGCATGAGATAAGGGCAACTGTTGTTTGCACGTGTTCACGTGAGTATTCGCGTCGTTCCTGCTGTACAAACCAATAGAAACGATATAAACCTTTTTGATTGGCCTTCACGAAAACTCAATTTTTCGTTTGTGATGAAGGTCTCGTTGGTCGCGTGTTGCTGGAAATCGCAGTAATGCTTTTCAGCTCTCGTTATTGTCTTATTTTTAAGACTAAAAATTAAATTGATTACAATTTTCATATAAATCAAAACAAAAACTGCAATGAAATGAAATTAC